CTCCCAAATGTACACACACAAAAAGGGCGCGGCTCTGCGGCCTATGGTATCACTAAAGGACACTGCAAACTTCGTACTGGCGAAGCGGCTACTCCGACGTCTCAATTTTCTCACCTCCGAACACCACGAACATCACAGTCAGCTCGTCAAGGAAATTCTTGGAGTATCTTAAATGAGTAAGTCTCCTGCCAAGCCATGTCATAGTTTCCTTTGATGTCACGTGCCTTTTTACTTCTATCCCGCAGGACCTGGCAGTCGAGACCATGGAAGTACTCCTAGGAGAGAAATAGGACGAAACGGAGAATGGCCTCGGACATGCCCAAATCCTCCAGCGCCTGAACTTCTGTCTCAGGACGTACTTTACTTCCGACGGAACCATCTACGAGCAGGTGAAGGCAACGCCAATGAGATCGCCGATTTCGGGACTCATAGTCGAGGCGGTGCTACAACGGCTGGAGTCGCTGGTTTTCCGACATCACAGAGCGCAATTCAGTGCACGCTATGTGGATGACACTTTGGTCGTCCTCGAACTGCATCAGGTGATGACATTCAAAAAACAGATCAATGCCGTCTTCACAGAAATTCAAATAACGATGTAGGAGAAGGAGAAGAAGAAGAAGATGAAGAAGAAGAAGAGGAAGATAAAGAGGAAAGAGAAGAAGGAAAAGAAGCAGATGGCCCTGCCGGATGTCCTCTTCTGGCGCAAACATTGTGGTGTCAAAATACCAAATTGTTCAGGAAAGCGACAACGAAGACTTTATCTTGCCTGCAGACAAGGCGCCTTCAAGGAGCGTATTGGAGAGGACACAGTACAATGAAAATATCAATAGCTTGCTGTTGGATCGTCAGTCCTATGTCCGATGCGAATCCAATCCCATCAAAAGGCTGACACGCGAGATGAACGCGACACTGTTTGGCATGCAGAAGTCAGGTGCAATATCGTCTATCGACCGAGGCATGGCAAGGGCACAAGAAGCGGCACTAGCCCGGTTCCATGGTCTCCCAAATGTACACACACACAAAGATGGCGCTGCTCTGCGGCCTATGGTATCACTAAAGGACACTGCAAACTTCGTACTGGCGAAGCGGCTACTCCGACGTCTCAATTTTCTCACCTCCGAACACCTCGAACACCACAGTCAGCTCGTCAACGAAATTCTCCGAGTATCTTAAATGAGTAAGTCTCCTGCCAAGCCATGTCATAGTTTCCTTTGATGTCACGTGCCTTTTTACTTCTATCCCGCAGGACCTGGCAGTCGAGACCATGGAAGTACTCCTAGGAGAGAAATAGGACGAAACGGAGAATGGCCTCGGACATGGCCAAATCATCCAGCGCCTGAAGTTCTGTCTCAGGACGTACTTTACTTCCGACGGAACCATCTACGAGCAGGTGAAGGCAACGCCAATGAGATCGCCGATTTCGGGACTCATAGTCGAGGCGGTGCTACAACGGCTGGAGTCGCTGGTTTTCCGACATCACAGAGCGCAATTCAGTGCACGCTATGTGGATGACACTTTGGTCGTCATCGAACTGCATCAGGTGATGACATTCAAAAAACAGATCAACGCCGTCTTCACGGGAATTCAAATAACGATGTAGGAGAAGAAGAGGACGAAGAAGAAGAAGAAGAAGAAGAAGAAGAAGAATAAGAGGAAGATGAAGGGGAATGAGAAGGAAAAGAAGCAGATGGCCCTGCCGGATGTCCTCTTCTGGCGCAAACATTGTGGTGTCAAAATACCAAATTGTTCAGGAAAGCGACAACGAAGACTTTATCTTGCCTGCAGACAAGGCGCCTTCAAGGAGCGTATTGGAGAGGACACAGTACAATGAAAATATCAATAGCTTGCTGTTGGATCGTCAGTCCTATGTCCGATGCGAATCCAATCCCATCAAAAGGCTGACAGGCGAGATTAACGCGACACTGTTTGGCATGGAGAAGTCAGGTGCAATATCGTCCATCGACCGAGGCATGGCAAGAGCACAAGAAGCGGCACTAGCCCGCTTCCATGGTCTCCCAAATGTACACACACAAAGAGGGCGCGGCTCTGCGGCCTATGGTATCACTAAAGGACACTGCAAACTTCGTACTGGCGAAGCGGCTACTCCGACGTCTCAATTTTCTCACCTCCGAACACCTCGAACACCACAGTCAGCTCGTCAAGGAAATTCTCCGAGTATCTTAAATGAGTAAGTCTCCTGCCAAGCCATGTCATAGTTTCCTTTGATGTCACGTGCCTTTTTACTTCTATCCCGCAGGACCTGGAAGTACTCCTAGGAGAGAAATAGGACGAAACGGAGAATGGCCTCGGACATGCCCAAATCATGCAGAGCCTGAAGTTCTGTCTCAGGACGTACTTTACTTCCGACGGAACCATCTACGAGCAGGTGAAGGCAACGCCAATGAGATCGCCGATTTCGGGACTCATAGTCGAGGCGGTGCTACAACGGCTGGAGTCGCTGGTTTTCCGACATCACAGAGCGCAATTCAGTGCACGCTATGTGGATGACACTTTGGTCGTCATCGAACTGCATCAGGTGATGACATTCAAAAAACAGATCAACGCCGTCTTCACGGGAATTCAAATAACGATGTAGCAGAAGAGGTAGAAGAAGAAGAAGAAGAAGAAGAAGAAGAAGATGATGATGATGATGATGATGATGATGATGATGATGATGATGATGAAGAAGAAGAAGAATAGAAATGGAAGTAGAATAAGTTGAAGAAGAATAATTGGAAGAAGAAGTTGTGGATGAATAGTAAGAGGAAGAAAATTAAGAGGAAGAAGAAGAACAAGAAATGGGAATATTAAGAATGTAGAAGAATAGGAAAAAGAAGAAGAAAATGAAGAATAAGTAGAGGATGACCAATAAAGTATATGAAGAATATAAAGAATAAGAGGAATAAGTGGAAGAGCTAGAAGAAGAATTGGACGAATGAGTAGAGGATGAAGAAGAAAAAGAGGAAGATGGTGTAGTAGAACAGAAAGAAGAATAGGATGGATAGGAAGAATAATAAGATGACGAAGATAAAAATGGAAAATAATAGGAGAAAGTTGAACAGGAGGATTACGATTAATAGGAAGCATAATGATTGTAATAAGACGAAGAAGAAGAAGAAAGATGAAGGGGTAGATTTAGATGTGAATGAAGAATAAGAGGGTGAATAATAAGCGGAAAACTTAAAATAGGAATAAGAGTGAGAGGAAGAAATATACGAGGAAATAGAGGCGGTGGAAGGAGAAGAACAAGAATGAAGATATAAAAGATAGAATATGAAAAAGCATAAGATTACGAAGAAGAATGATGATGAAGAAGAAGTTAGAAGAAGAGGAAGACGAAGAAGGAGGAAGAAGTATAAGAATAAATAACAGGAAAAAGCAGAAGAAGAAGAAGATCAAGAAGAAGAAGAAGAAGAAGAAGAAGAAGAAGAAGAAGAAGAAAGTAGAAGAATAATCAGAAAGATGATGAAGAATGTAGAAGAAGAAGATGAAGATGACGTAGAGAAAAAAAAGTAGAAGACGAAGAAAAACTATGAAGAAGGAAACGAGGACGATGTAATAGTGTAGGAAGAAGAAGAAGAAGAAGAAGAAGAATAAGGGGAGGAAGAATAATAAGAAGTGGAAGAAGCTGAAGACTAAATATAAGAAGAAGAAGTTGATGAAGAGTAAGATGATTTAGAATAAAAGGAATAAGAAAAGGAACAAGAGGAATATGATAAAGATGAAGAAGAAGAAGAAGAAGGAGATAATGAAGTTGAAGAATAGAATAGGAAGTAGAATAAGAGGAAGAAGAATAAGAGGAAGTAGAAGGAGAGGACGAACAATAAGCAGAAGAAGACGAAGAGGAAGAAGAAGAACAAGAACGTGGAAAAGGATGAGTGAAGAATAATAAGAAAAGGAAGAAGCAGACGAAGAATGAAGAAGAAGTAGAAAAAGAAAAATATTATGATGAAGCAGAATATAGAATATGAAGAAGAAGAAGAATAAGTAGAGGTGGACGAAGAAAGTAGATGAAGAAGAAGAGGAAGAAGAGGAAGAATGGGAAGAGAAGGAAGAAGAAGTGGAAGAATGAGAAGAGGAAGAAGAAGAAGAAGATAAAGAGGTAGAAGATTAATTAGAACAAGAAGAGGAATAGGAAGGATAAAAAGAAGAATAAGATGAAGAAGAGGAAAAGGAAAAATAAGAGGAGAAAGATGAGCATGAGGAATATGATGAATAGGAAACATAAGAATTGGAAGACGATTAAGAGGAAGAAGAAGAAGAAGAGAAAGGATTTAAAGAGGAAGAAGAAGAAAAGAAATGATCATAATTATGAAGAAGAAGAAGAAGAAGAAGAAGAAGACATTGAAGAACAAGAAGAAAGGTGAAGAAGAAGAAGAAGTATTACTAGAAGGAAGAAGAAGAAGAAGAAGAAGAAGAAGAAGAAGATGATGATGATGATGATGATGATGATGATGATGATGATGATGATGATGATGATGATGATGATGATGATGATGATGATGATGATGATGATGATGATGATGATGATGATGATGATAATAATGACGTTGATACCGGGGACGATAATGTGATTTATGATGGTAATGATGAAATTTTCATGAGGTTTTTTATATTTTCCTGTTGCTGATGATATAATTTTAATAGCAGTAAAATTCGTAATAATAATCTTGGTAATATTATTAGTCTCATCAATAGTAGAAGTGGCGGCAGCAGCAGCGGCCTAATTATTGTTAGAAGTGCAGCAATTCGTAGTAATATTTTAGTATTATTATTTGCAGTAGTAGTAGTTGTTGTTGTAAATTCATTAGACGTAGTTGTATTAACAGAATTTTTTGTAGTAGTGGTAGTAGTACTAGTGGTAGAAGTATTGGAAGTAGAAGTGTTAGTGGTAGTAGTAGTAGTAAAGGAAGTAGTAGTAATAGTAGTAGTAGTAGTAGTAGTAGTAGTAGTAGTAGTACAAATATTAGTGTTACTAGTGGCATAAGTATTAGTAGGAGCAGCAATAGCAGTGGAGATATGTGTATTAGACGTTTTGGCAGAAGCAGTAGCAAATGTGTTAGTAGAAGCAATAGCAATGGAAGAAGTAGTGGTGGTACCAGTATTAGTAGTAATAGCAGTAGTGGTGGCGTTAGTAGTAGTAGTAATATGGTAATCGTAGAAGCAGCATTAGTAGTAGTAGTAGCAGTGGGATTTAAAGTAGTAGTAGTGTTAGTAAAAGCAAAAGAAGTAGTATTGGTTTTGAAGAAGGAGACACGATCGTTGGGACAAGAGGCTCATTAGCCTGACGTTTCGGATTCCCGCTCAAATCCATCATCAGAGACAAAAAAGCAGAAACGGGTGGTTGATGCACAAGGGACTGCGGCATTTACAGGATGCAGTAGCCATGCTACCGCATACTTATAAATATTCACGGCTCGCCCCTTCATCCGGGATCGTCGCACTTGGTGTGCTAATTGATTGATGGCCGACATTCGAGTCGTAAATCGCTGCAATTTCATCACGTGCGTTGGATGTTGGTGTGATGATTGGTCGACCATCTGACGCATCGACGCTCCCGGCTTATTCGACGAGATGCGGGCACACATTCAAATTCGACGAAGCCGAAATTCTCGCAAGAGGTGACAATCGCGTGAGCCGGGATCTACTGGAATCATGGTTTACTGGCCCCCAGTCCATCAACATGTGCAACGATCTTCCCATTCCATACTCCGTGCTGAGACTTCGACTAGGCAGAGTAATTAGCGATGCGGGGAGCGTAGATGTGAACACTGGGGTCGATGCGTCAGATGGTCGAGCAATCATCACACCAACATCCAACGCACGTGATGAAATTGCAGCGATTTACGACTCGAATGTCGGCCATCAATCAATTAGCACACCAAGTGCGACGATCCCGGATGAAGGGGCGAGCCGTGAATATTTATAAGTATGCGGTAGCATGGCTACTGCATCCTGTAAATGCCGCAGTCCCTTGTGCATCAACCACCCGTTTCTGCTTTTTTGTCTCTGATGATGGATTTGAGCGGGAATCCGAAACGTCAGGCTAATGAGCCTCTTGTCCCAACGATCGTGTCTCCTTCTTCAAGACTACATCCTGGGCCTCGTCTCTTGCTCCTACTAGCAGTAGTACTGGTATAAGTAGCAGTAGTTGTAGTGTTTGTAATAGTAGTTGCCGTAGTATACTTATTAGTAGTAGAAGTAGAATTGATAGTAGTTGCAGCAGCAGAAGAAATGCGATTAGTAGTAGAAGTAGCAAAATAAGTATCGGCAGTAGTAGTTGTAGTAGTATTAGAAGCAATAGTAGTGGAAGGACTAGCAGTAGTAGTACTGGTAGTAGTAGAAGAAGTTGTAGAGTTAATGCTCGTAGTAGTATCAGCAATAGCAGTTGTATTAGTAGTAGTCCTACTAGTCGTATTAGCAGTAGTGTTTGTAATAGTTGTTGCCGTAGTAGAATTAGTAGTAGAAATAGTAGTGTAAGAAGTAATATTAGTGATAGTTGCCGCAGCGGAAGAAATGCGATTAGTAGTAGAAGAAGCCGCAGAGGAATCAGCAGCAGTAGTAGTAGTAGTAGAAGTAGTAGTAGTAGTAGTAGTAGTAGAAGTAGCAATTGAAGCAGTTGTAGATGTAGTGCTACTAGTAGTATCTGCCGTAGCAGTTGTAGTAGTAGCAGTTGTAGTAGTAGCAGTTGTAGTAGTAGCAGCTGTAGTACAAGAATTGTTA